CACTATCATGGTTGGGGTATAATCCACACAACCAGACAAGACAATAGAGTGATTCTCAGCCAAAAGAGTGCCATAACTGGAACCACGACAAGTAAAGAGACATTTGGTTAGTCATTTAGAGGATATAGGAAGTGAAAGTGGTGAGGATGCTCTTATGTAAAGTGATTCTTCTACCATTAGATAAAAAGGAATTAGTCCAGCATGAGAGATATGAGATAGTTTTATTTTGGACCTCATCAAATTGAATTAGCTTAGTTCTGCCCATAATAAGGAGGACCCCAAGAAATTTGAGTGGAAGTTGAATGGAAGAGAACCCATTACACTCAGATGTCCACTGCTTGAGCCGAGAGAAGCCTTTTTGTAAAATATCAGTTGACATTTGTCAGGATTGAAGCACATTCCTGAGTTATCTTGAAAAGTGTTAAGGCATTAAATAACCTTTTTAACAACAACCTTATATATATATTAATGAAGCAACACCAAATAGAAGGCTTTATGGGTGATTTCAAAGCCAAGGAGTCTAGCTTTGACCTATAAAATGAACTGAAAGTTGACTAAGGGCCAATTTGGGGTAGCTTATAAGTGCGAGTGGCATTCTGAAAATATTGCCTCACTGTTTGTTTCTCACGTTGCGGGTGATTATATGAAAGCTGTGTTTTGTGTTTTAGTACGAAGTCGATCGCAGAGATATACCCTCATCCGTGTTCACTATCTGTGTTCATTCCCTTATTTTACGCCCCTGCCCTCGCTTGCTCGTGGAACAACCCCTCACCTCTTCTCGTCTGTCTTTCCCTCTCACTCTTAAAGCTACTGAAGCGAACCATGCTCCTTTGCTCCAGCCGGTGCCACTTCACTGTAGTTGCTTCTTTGGTGAAGCAGTCCCCTCGCCGTACCTCATGCCAGCCTGCTCCTTTGACATTGCAATGGTTCGGTCTCGAAGGCGATTGCTTTATGTGAAAATGGGAGGGGGAAGCGGAAGGGGAAGACACAGACGAGGGTTTCACGAGGGACAAAAGAGGGGAAAAGGAAGATAAGATGGGTTTAAACTTTAATTTAACTTTATTTTAAGTTTATTTATTTTTATTAATTTAATTCATTAGTACCAATTAATTAAATAAATATTGTTATCAAAATTAAATATAATTAAATAAATCAAAATATTACTGTACAATGATTAATTAATAAAAAAAATTAATTTATATATTTAATAAAATTCTAGTGAATATTAATTATAATAATTAATATATAATCAATTGTTAATTAATTAATATTAATGTATAAGTTAATATAATTAGTTTCATAAAATCATTACTGATGAGTTGTCGGTTCTATAAATAATTAATTGTTGATGTACAAGGGCAGAATGATCTTTTTTCCATAAACAGATGCAAATCAATTGGTTTCCACAAGTTGAAATCAGACAGTCAGCCAACTTATCTATATCAATTGTTGATCAATAGCTTAACCAAATTAGTTGCTTATGAGTGGATTGTCAATAAGCTGCAGCTGCCCCAAATAGACCCTAAATGATTAACTTATAGATGGTATCTCATGAAATTATGTTTGAAAAATTAGAAGTTGCATTTATAAAATTAGTTATCAAATAAAAAGCTTAAAGAATAAATCTAAAATGTTTGATAAAAAATGAATAACCCTAATATGTACTTTTATAGCTTAAACGATAAATTTGTAAAATTAAAAAATAAAATCAAGTCCTTATTAGATTAATCTATTCTTGTTAGGAAATCACAATGAGAAACTATTATATTAAAAACAAGTATGAAAATGTGTTTAAAATCTCAAGCTTATCTTGTCATTTCATTTAGAAGAATTGATAGTAGGAGTCTTCATTACTCCACAGATTTTTTGCATAGTCATTCACATTGAACTCATCAATTTAAACCTTATGTTAATGTACATGTATGATGTAATTTGTTTTTCTAAGAAAAAAATTCATTTCAACTGATTGTCATGAAATAAAATTATGGCTCAATACACGCTCTATGTTTATATGAATATCAAAAGCTTAAACAGTACCCACACCGCATTGCATAAAGCATTTATTTATCAATTAAAATATGGGCATATTTAGTTTCTAAAAGTTAAAATTTGTTTTCGCTTAATCTAATGCCTTGGTGAAATCAATAAAGACATGTAATACTTAGTGGATATTCTGTAGATATGATAATATATAAGGATAAATTCACAATATTTCACTTGAAGAAGCCATCAAGCTCGTTTAGCATTTGAGTCGTATTCTAAAATTTTCATAAAGAATTCACAGAATAACAACCATGTCATTTCACACAATACATTTAAATCGAATTTATAAAACATGCAAACCCACACTAGGTTTGTTGACCACCCCTATAAAATCCCCCCATTACCTCAATATTTTGTTACTATTCACTTCTCCCACTCACTCGCGTTTTCTACTCTCTTAGATAGCCACTCACCTACTTTTCTACTACCTATGGCTGGTCATAGGGGTTTGACCGCCAATGGTCAGCCCACGAGTCAATCTAACACACTTGATCCATACAAACTCACCTATACACAAGCCCTTAAGTAATTTGCTCAAAATACATAAAAAAGATACAATACAACCTTAATATATATGAATACATATAATTTCTTATATTTAAATTTTCTTCATTTTGTTCCTAGTGATATATTCACCAGAATGCGAAGCAACTCCCGTGAATTGACTTCTGATAGTAGGTCTGACTTTGATGTTCCTTCTTGGGTCCATCTTCTGTGCATACAAGCCCAACTTGAAATTAACATGATGCACCATAATATAACAAAATACATAAAAAAGAGACAATACAACCTTAATACATATGAATACATATAATTTCTTAAGTTTAAATTTTCTTCATGTTGTTCCTAGTGAAATATTCACCAGAATGCGAAGCAGCTCCCGTGAATTGACTTCTGATAGTAGGTCTAACTCTGATGTTCCTTCTTGGGTCCATCTTTTGTGCATACAGGCCCAACTTGAAATTAACATGATGCACCATAATATAATGTTTCAACTAAGATAGTGGTTAGCAAGGAATGTGATCACAAGATTTGGGGAGTAAATTCCATCAACAGAATTTAGATGTGTGCTAGCTGCCTGACCTTGACGTTTTTTCAGGAAAATAAACTCAACGAAGATGGGACAACAACAAATAGTATGAAAAAGTAGAAAGTGATTTCATGGGGATTAAAAAAAAAAACATTCAGAGTATTTTTAAAGTGAAAAGGAGTCACATCATATTAATAATTAAAAGAGTAAATACAGAGACAATTACCTAGGGGTGGCAATAAATATTTATTTAGTTGCAAATATTTTGTCTTTATTAATGAACTTTTCTTTTTTAATCATGCTTACTTTCTTTGCAAGCTACATTCCAAAAAAAGAAAAAAAAATCATGGATATTAATATATATCATGTGTATACTACACAAGTTACACAATATATAGACCTGAAACTCTATGAGTGCTCGATCAAAGAGTAGAGAACTCCTTCGAAGGAAAAGGAACTCGACACTCTATTTGGGGACCAAGTAGGAATATGATTGTTGGCCAAATCTTGACTCTTACAATATCATGTCTACTAAGGACCACATAGAAGAACTCTACTAAGGCCGAAAAGGCTCATAAATTTCATTTTCTACGTGAGCAACCTCATGCAATAGAAACAACTTGAATTTTATTTATTCATTTGTACAGATCTTCATGTTGCTCTTATAACCTTATAAATTAAGAAAGAATTGTGTATATGAGATGATCAGTATTAAGTTTTCGAGATAGTGCTTGATAAAAAACTCAAAGTCTATCTCTCTCTCTCTCTCACCACGCACCCACACGCGTGCGCATGCATGCACACGCATCGTCTCTTTTCTACCGTTAATTTCTTGAGATTTATTAGTAGGGACCAAGCATCACCAATATATACATTTGAATTCAACCTTATAATTTATTCAAAGTAATGTAAATTCTAAAATAGCATGGTTAAGTATAATACTTTAATTATATATTAAAAAAACTATAAAAAAAATAACACTTTTGCTTACATTTTTAAGAAATATAATTGTTAATGAGTTAAAATAATTAATTAAACTGTGGTTAAATGATCATTCTTAAGCACAAATAGTTCTTGCACATGCTATCAATCGTAGCATTTATAGAACACAAGTAATCTTTGTAAACGTGACAATAACACTTTGTCACACTTTTTCTTAAACAAGTATCGAATAAAAAATTTTGAGTCAAAAAAGATGAAGTTAAAAAATAATTAATTTAACTTGAAGTCTTGAAGCCGATATTCCTAAAGAAGGCAAGTCGGCTTGGCTCGAAGGATTGCTTCCATGTGTTTTGTTTTAAATAGTGAAAAGATGCCAGTTAGAACAGGAAGAATCAATCGGGTGGAGGTTACAGTAATACCCTTTTCCTTATCGGAATGAAATTAAAATTTACTATATATTACAATAGGCAGAGGTGTCAATTTGGGTGAATAAGTGGGATTTATTCTTGACAAACGTTTTTGACCCAATCAAAACCTGAATGTTCAAAATATTGCCCATTTATTTAAAGTATTATAAAGTATGGACCAAATCTAATTCGCCTTTAACCTTCTTGATTCAACTCCATCCTATATCACAAAATTAATACAAGTTGAAATCATCATTTATGGCAATTTCAATTAAATTTTAGTTAAATTCATTTTAACTTCAAATTTAAAGATTAACTCAAACTGCACCATGTACTCAAGGCCCAAATTAAACCCTAAAGTCCAATGGTCCATTTCGAACCCAAAAATTCACATCGAATTTGAATTGAGTTACTTGTTTACAATTTTTACCACAGCTAACTCATATTTTTTGAAGATATTCAATTCGAAGAATGATGTATTTACGGAATCTTTTTAATTAAAAGGATATTAATAAAATAATACTAAAAATTTTTGTTAAGAATTTCCATGCACCCTTACTTTCCAGTCATGTTTGGTTATAAAAGTCATTGGAGATGTGAGTGAATGGCTACAAGAGAGTCAAGCACACATGGAAGTTCTCTACTATGCCTTCTTTCTGAGCTCATTACTCATCCTCTTCCTCAACCTGAAGTTCAAGAAATCAAATAAGCTCCAAAAAGGATGCAAGGAAGCCCCGGGGCCCTGGAATCTCCCCGTCATAGGCAATCTCCACCTATTTGCTAGCCGACGGCCTCCTCACCAGTCCTTTCGTGACCTCTCCGCGGTCTATGGGCAAATTATGCGTCTTAAACTTGGTGACATCAAGATTGTCATCATTTCCTCCGCAAAGGCCGCTAGAGAAATCATGAGAACCCACGACGCCGACTTCGCCACTCGTCCTCTCAACGACTCAATTCGCGCTATCTTCTACGGCAGCAACAATATCTCATTCGGCACTAGCGATGAATTCTGGCGCCAAATGCGTCGACTATGCAACATGGAGTTGCTCAGTATAAAGCGCGTTCGCTCTCTCAGGGCGATAAGAGAGGTCGAGGTCTCTCATCTTATCCAACACATAGGAGCTTCATCAGGTACTGTTACCAACCTCAGCAGTAAGATGGTGGAGACCAACAACAACATCATGGCCCGAGCAGTCATTGGTGATCGATGCGATGACCAAAACCTCTTTCTTTCGGCGCTGGATGATGCAGTGGAGATTTTGTCAGGATTCACCATCGTGGATCTGTTCCCCTCGGTGCCGTTCTTAGGTTCGCATATAAATAGCTCGTTTTTCTTTTACTTCCAAAATATATAAAATTCAATATTTAAGATAAAACCTCCAATCAATCCAATTAAACACAAATATTCTAAAAAAAAAAATTTGAGCCAACGAAACCTCTGATAGCTTTTTTTTTAGTAATTAATTACTGTTCGATTAAACTTAAATTCGAATACTAATTAATATGGAAGTAAATTTTTTAATAAGTTTTCTTAATTAATTAATAGTAAAATTTAGAATTACAAAATATTAGATAAAAATTATAAATCCTTTTCACTTTTCAGTTTAATAAAATATTCTAGCGCCGCTGGTTTTGAGATAATGTTACTTTATAATTAAAAATATACTTAGTATCTTGTAATATAGTAAGATGATATTAATTATTTGCGAAAAAGTTGTTATTATGTTAAGGGCTGTCAAAATGGCTCATTGTTCGAACAACTCGTGTTTGGCTCTTTAAGAAGTTTGTCTTCAGCTTGTTCGCTAAGTTAAAAAGTGGAACATGAACAAAGATTTGTTCGTTCGTATTCGACTCTTTTTGGGTCAAAATAATACTCATCAATTTTATATATATATATATATATATATATATATATAGATAAGAGTTATTTTTTATAACTTAGTTTAATTGACTACGATGCTATAAAGAATTATAATCAATTAAAAGAATTAATTAAGAAAATATAATAAAAATTATTAAATTAGATTCAAATAATGTTTTATTATAAATAATAATATTTAAATCTTACCCCAACTCTTAATATCTTATGACTACGTGATTATAGTTGTCAAAATGACTCTTTGTTCAGCTTGCTAAACAAATGAACCAAACATGAAAATACTTTTTTGAGCTCGAAATATAAGCGAGCCTGGGTTCGCTTGCTCGTGTTCAGCTGGTTTACACCCCTAATTATATTCGTTATTATTAACGATAGTTTTTTCATAAGTTTACATTTAAGTGCATTAGGGTTATTTCTTTTTTTAATCAAAAGAAAAAGATTCAGCAAATTTCTAACAGGTCGTATCACCGGATTTCAGCAAAAATTTGAGAAATGTCGAATAAACTTGGATCTAATGGCTGAAAAAATAGTTGAAGAACACAAGAAGAAGAGGGCCAAACACTTTTCTAATAATGATACTGAGAAGTTGAAGGAAGAAGATCTAACTGATGTTCTTCTGAGGGTTCAACGGGAAGACAGCCTTCCATTTCCCCTCACCAACGACAACATAAAGGCTCTAATCAATGTAAGTGAGATCCTTACGACTTGAATCATCCCTGCTACTTCTACGTGCTTGATCGATAATGTTTTCTGCTAACATGAATAATTGAATTTCAAATTAACTAGGATATTCTCATGGCTGGGACTGACACAACTTCAAGAACCCTGGAATGGGCAATGTCGGAGATGATTCAAAACCCGGCGATTTTGGAAAAGGCACAGAGGGAGGTCAGGGAATTCGTCAGCGACAATGGCGGGCTACGAAAGTTGGTGGATGAGGAATTGATAAGTGGTAAACTAAGTTATTTGCAATTAGTGATTAAGGAGACGCTTAGACTGCACCCTCCCGCGCCACTACTGCTGCCCCGAGAAAATCAAGAGACCAAAGAGATTATGGGATATGTAATACCAGCCAAGACGAAGGTATTGATTAACATGTGGGCGATAGGAAGGGAACAAAAATATTGGGGTGATCCTGAAAATTTTCGTCCAGAGAGATTCGAGGAGAACCCTGTAGATTTTAAGGGTGCACACTTTGAATATGTGCCATTCGGTGCAGGCAGGCGGATATGTCCTGGGATGCAATTTGGGTTATTCACGTTGGAGATAATATTGGCTCATTTGCTCTACTATTTTGACTGGAAGTTTTTGGGAAAGAAAGGGGAGATGTTGGACATGAGAGAAGCATTTGGTGTCATATTAAAAAGGGAAACTCCTCTTTGTTTGATTCCCACTCTTCGATTTCCTATCCTACCAGCATGACCGTAGCATTTATGGATGATCTTATGCAGTTGCAGAATTGTACTGATGCGTGGGCCGAAGATTTGACGAAGAGGAAAATATTATATTGTTGTGAGTGGAAATAGAAAGTAGGCGACCTGTTTCTTTCTACTGTGAAACTTTTTATGCTGAATAACTTTCTTTTTTGTTAATTTTGGTCCATATTATCATAACTAAAAAATAATTGGGGGGCATTTACATGCAGACCACCCAATTACTTCGTTCAATTCTTATCTAACATCAAAACATTATTTTCTATATTAAACCCAAAATTTTCATTTCACATAAAAAATGCCATCAATTTATGCTTTTAAAGTGAAATAAACATTCATAGATAATGTGACACACACACACACATATACATACACATATATATATATATACATACATATATATATAGATATATATATATATATATGTA